TGTCCATAAAGCAACTCTGCTACCGAGCATCCGAAATCGGATCGATAAGCCGTTCGTAGTCCAAGCAAGATTATAGGAAGTTCAGCAGTCCAATGTTTTTGACTCCCTGCCATTATGGACGCCTTGAGTGTTCGGTGGAATCGCTCCACCAAACCATTTGACTGTGGATGGTAAGCTGTCGTTCGAACATGTTTTGATCATATCGCTCTTGATAACTCACGAAAAAGGTCCGACTCGAATTGCCTTCCCTGGTCTGTCGTTACAGTCTCAGGTATTCCGAAGCGTGCAATCCACGTAACGACAAATGCGCGAGCCACTGTTTCGGCGGTCATATCGTGTAATGGAATCGCCTCCGGCCACCGAGAATAACGGTCTATGATTGTTAACAGATAACGATATCCATTCGAAGGGGGCAGCGGACCCACTAGGTCCATGTGCACATGACGAAATCGGCTATCCCGTAGGGGAATCTTTTCGATTGGTGCTTTCGTATGTCGATGAACCTTAGAAAGCTGGCAGGATAAACAGTTCTGAACAAATTGCTTGATGTCCTTATTCATGTTTTTCCAAACAAATCGATCGGCAACCAATCGACGAGTAGAGCGAATTCCCGGATGTGCTAATCCATGGATGTGTTTCAGCACTGCCTGGCGATGTTGCAAGGGGATGTACGGCCTTACCTTATTTTGTGAAACGTCGCAATACAAGGGTGCAGATGCCAGGGGGGTCTTCCGAGGTTCCAGTTTCAGTGAACTTGATGTTAATAGAAGATGCTTCAATTCGACGTCCGCCTGTTGGTCTTTGGCAACCGTTTCGTAATCAATTGCCATAGGAATGTTGATTGCTTCGATTGTTGACAGTGCATCCGCAACAACATTTAATTCCCCGCTGATATGCGGATATCGCTGGTGAATTGGGATATATATTATAGATATCGTTCTTCGTGCGGCAATCTGGAATTTGGACTTGAAGTTAACGCTGTTGTGAGTGGCTTGTGGTCGGTGAATATAATGAATTTCCTTCCTTCAAGTAGGTGACGAAAAGTACTGTACGGACATTTTCATCGCAGTAAGCTCCGTACCAAACGTTGATTACTTGAGCTGCGCTGGCGAAAATTTTTCGGACTAAAAGCCTAATGGCTTCCACCGTCCTTCGTCTAACTGCTGGAGAACCGCACCTGCTGCTGTGTTCGACGCGTCGATGAGCAAACTTAGCGGTTTTGTAGCATCGGGAAAATGCAGCAATGTGGCGTCCGCTAACGAAGTTTTACATTCCTGGAACGCTTTTTCGGCGGTTTCTGTCCATGATAGCTTCCTGGAATTGTTTTTTCTGTTGTCTGGGATAAGTCTCCGTAATTCGATCTGGGTGTCAGTGGCATGAGGAATAAACCGTTTATAACTGTTAACCAGTGCGAGAAACCTTCGGAGCTCTTTGACAGTCGTCGGAAGTGGAAATTTGACGACGACATCGACGCGATTTGGAAGTGGACGTACTCCATCCTTGCTAACCAGGTAACCAAGAAATTCCACACTTCGTTCCGCAAAATGGCTCTTGGCAACATTTATCACAAGTCCGTAAGATCGGAGTCGTTCGAACACTGCTCGTACGTGCTGATAATGTTCCTCCTCCGTCGACGAAGCTATGCAGATGTCGTCTACAAACACCACAACAAAATCCATATCGGCAAACACCTGATGCATAAATCTTTGGAAGGTTTGGCTGGCGTTGCACAATCCGAACTGCATCCTCGTAAATTCGAAAAGCCCGAACGGGGTTATGACGGCCGTCTTCGGAATATCTGATTCTTGTGGTGAAAATGCTTTTGCCCTGAAACGTATTCAACAGGTCGTGGATATGTGGTACGGGATAGCGATCTGGAACAGTTACCTGATTTAAAGCACGGTAATCACCGACGAATCTCCACTGACCGTTCTTTTTCGGGACGCAATGGAGAGGACTAGCCCAACTGCTGCTAGACGGACGGCATATATCCAGCTCACTCATCACCTGGAACTCCTTCTTAGCAGCGTCTAGTTTGTCTGGGGCGAGGCGGCGACACTTGCTTGCTATGGGAGGCCCTTTCGTTTGAATGTAGTGGGTGACATCGTGCTGGATCGTTGTTTTAATTGTAGTTGGCAACGTCACTTCTCGAAATTCAGTCAATAATTCTCGGAAAGGATGATCTAGGGCGACCACGGTTATGGTGTGAACAGTTGTGTCTATTATACCCCCAATAGAGGATAATTTAGTAAGTCCGTCAATCAACCGTCGGTGTTTAAGATCGACGAGGATTCCGTACGACGCCAGAAAATCTGCTCCAATAATCGCAACACCTACATCACCAATCAAGAAGCGCCAATTGAATCTCCGACGTAGACCAAGATCGACCGTGAGAAATCGTTTGTCGTAAACTTTAATTCTGGAACCGTTTGCAGCGTGGAGGTCGAAAGGTGCTGTTCCATTCGAACGCTCACGAATTGAAGCAGGGAGAATCGAAACATCCGAACCGGTGTCGATAAGAAACTTTGTGTTGCTGGTACGATCGAATATCAAAATACGGCGACTTCGGGTGAACGGGAGTTTAGTTTTTTTGGTTACTAAACTGGCACGGGTCTCGACACTTGAGAGCGCGACCACCGAATTTGCGATGAAACCAGCATATTTCGAAATCGCTTGCATTTCGACTCGAACGTGATGTGCCTAATTTCGGTAGTGAGAGCCGCGATTTGGCCTCGCAATTCTTTCATATCGTTGTTTCCAGTGGGCATCGACGCAGCTGCGATAGTTCATCGCATAGTGCATTTTATCGATAGTTCCGTCACTGATGGTGAGAATGGTTTTAACGTTTGGGGGCATTCTCTGAAGAAACAACATTTTCAAGAGCTCATCGGTTACGTTTAATCCTGCTGCCAGCTCTTGCATTTTTGCGAGCATATGTGTTGGCCGCATATCACCCAAATCGCAGGAACTCAGCAAACGTTCCAACCTTCCTTCTGCAGACACTTGAAAACGCGAGATCAAACGATTCTTCACCGCACTGTACTTATTTTCCGCCGGCAGATTCGACACTAAGTCCGTTACGTGGCAAATGACCGATTGGTCCATTTTGGCCACAATGTGATAAAATTTCGTATCGTCTCTAAGAACATTCGTGAGGGCAAACTGAGCCTCTGCCTGTGCAAACCATATGACAGGATCGTTCTTCCAAAAGTCCGGAAGTTTTACGGCGACGCCAGCGGCGACGGCAGCGTTTTCGTTCGGGTTTGCCTTTTTCGTTGAAGAAATGTATGGAAACGTTATCCAGTCGGTTCTTCTCCGTCGGGGTCAATAATGTGGGGCGCGAACGCGGACCGCGAATAAATAAAACGAATAAAACTTGTTGTTTTTAATCGACAATCTCAAGGAGCTCTTTATTGTCTCACGTGTTTTACAACTCTGACCCTTCCTCTTTTTCTCTGTTCGCTCACGAGGGGTGCGCTGATTGAAAGCAATACCAAGCACCACACTCTATTCTCTGTTCCACTCAAAACGGATTTCCGATACAAAAAAGGGAAATTTCAGGCATAACATTTGATAACGGCACAAAAGCTAGCTTCCTCGCCACATCAGGTATACCTCAGGGAAGCCACATGGGACCGTTAATTTTTATACTGTACTTCAACGACGTGGATCTGGTCATCGAAGCTCCTCGGTTATCATATGCAGATGACCTCAAAATCTTCCTACGAATCTGCTCCATTGCTGACTGTCACTTTCTTCAACGTCAACTGAATGTATTCGCTAGTTGGTGCAGGTTAAACAGAATGGTAGTGAACCCAGCCAAATGCTCCGCTATTACGTTCTCACGAAAACAACAACCGATAATATTTAGCTATGACCTGCTTGGCTCGACAAACGAACGCGTGAATCAGGTGAAAGACTTGGGTGTGATCTTGGATTCGCAGCTTTCATTCAAGCAACACATTGCATATGTTGTTGATAAGGCGTCAAGAACTTTAGGGCTCATTTTTAGGATAGCTAAAAACTTCACTGATATCGCTTGTTCGATCGACGCTTGAGTATTGTTCAGCGGTTTGAAACCCAAACTACAACAACGGTGCCGAGAGAATTGAATCTGTTCAACGTCGCTTTCTTCGTTTTGCGTTGCGTAGATTGCCTTGGAATGATCCGTTTCGATTACCAAGTTACGAAAGCCGTTGTCAACTTATCGACCTAGAACTTCTCCGGACTAGAAGGGACACAAGCAGAGCCCTAACCGTGGCCGATATCCTACAAAGAAGGACAGATTGTGAGGCTATCCTGAGGAAAATTGACCTGAATGTTTAACCCCGACCGCTTCGTAATAACCTTATGCTGGGACTGCCTCTACGTTGCACAAATTATGGAGCGTACGGTGCGATTTGCGGACTGCAGAGAACATTCAACAGAGTTACATCTGTTTTCGACTTTCATCTCTCCCGTGATGCGCTTCGTCGGAAGTTTTCTTCTGTTTTTCGCCGGCAGGAGTTAAGATATTGACTATAAGATATACGTTTTTTTATGTTATGACCATGCTTGAATGTATTTTTTTTACCATAGTTGAGAAGGTTAAAATCATTGGGGCTTCATCCAGCCTGTTGATGTAAAACAACAATAAAAGCATTTGTAAACAAATTTTCTAAGGCCCTTTACACGCAAACCAAAGTACGCCCACGCAAACTACTACCAGTTTCGGAAAGGTGATAGTTGCCCCTATCCGATGATTTTGTTGGTTTGCGTCGGCGTACTTTGGTTCGCGTGTAAAGGGCCTTAGAAAGTTTGTTTACAAATGCTTTTGTGCCGTTATCAAATGTTATGCCTGATTTGTTTCGAACGAGATACAGAATAGGCCAGCAGAAAAATGAAGAAATCAAAATACATCGACTTAGGAAGGGGGCGATGCTTGTAAAATGGAGGGAACTTTAAAATCGCGAGGGAATTTATTTTTAATTTTACCCATTGAATATAAAAAAAAACCTCACCTTTGGTTCGTTGATATTTTGCTGGTAGTCAGTCTTCAGTGTCTTCAACTCCTTCTCGATCTGCTCCATTTCGAAGCTCAACCGTTGCATTCGTTCCTGATACAGCTGATCGAAGAACTGCGGCTTATTCACCGGCCCATCGAATACGTATTTCCTCAGTAATGTTTCACTTTCATTCCTATCAGAACGACAAAAGAAGCAGTTAGCTTCACTCTCACCATCGCATCCTTTCGAATAACTTACAATTCCCCGATTATTTCATCCATATTCTTGTAGAACTTCCCTTTCACGATGGACTGCAAATTTTTGTACGTTCGTTTCTTGAAGTCCTCAAAATCCTGCAGGCAGTTCTTCAAACTCAACGATCGATCCCCGGATGGAGACGATTGGCTCAAATTCAACGAATCCATTACTGAAGCAATCTGGCCCACAAACTCCTCGTACGCTTCGTCTTCTGCATTATTTCTTTCCAGTGCTTTCATTGCTTCGATCCGTTTCAAGCAAAGCTGAGTTTCTGCATTCATTTCGTCACTGTTGTCAAATTTGTTTTTCATCTTCTCCAGGTCCAGCTGCATCAAAATCCACAACAGTTCGGCGTTTATCAGAGCACTCGATACAATTCCAGCCAGCTTCTTGATGTACTCCAAGCGACTAATGGCTCGATTCAGTTTGAGTTTACTGTTTTCGTAGAGAATATGCTCAATTCGATGTTCGTTCATCTGGCGAATATACATCTCTAGTTCCTGCTTGAGGACATCAATCCGAAGCGTGTCTTGTTCGTTAGTACCTTTCAGTTCCGCACAAACTTTCCTACGATTAAACAGCAACTTGGGAATCTAAAATCAACAAAACTAAAAACACAACAAAAATCACCTCATAGCTTCTATTTTCATCGGCTGCCAGCTGAGATCTTGAAAACGCTCCATCATCCTTTTCAATCCATGGTATTCTTTGCTAGCATCCGTCAGTTTAGTCTCCTGCAAATCGAGTCGAGATTTAATGCTCTCCAGCTGCACAATTATATCCCTATGGTTATGATCTGGTTCATGTTCCGAATCGTCCAAATTGCGCACGGAAAAATGTTTCCGGATGTACATCTCCAGATACTTGAGAAATTGATCGCACTTCATGTTGAACTGTTCGATTGGCATCTGATAGACGAACAGTGGAGGGTTTTGCTGGAAGAAAATATAGTTACTTTCAAAAGGATTCCTTTCTACGAAGACATCACAAATCTTACAGCTTGAACGTAGCACTGATGCATATCAAAAATCTGCTGCTGCGTATTGGATTGAATTTCTTCCACAAACTTTGCTTTCTCCACGCATTCTGCCGCAACTTTTCCTTGATTAAACATGGCATCGATGAGCTGCAGATCCAAGTCGGCAAGTTCTTTCGATAGCACCTTTTCCGTGTTTTTTGCCTCGCAAATTAGCTTCTCATATTCCTCCTCGATTGTGACCAACTGTTCCAACTGTTCCTCATAAGCCTCAACATCGGTATTTGTGTAATCCAAAATATGTTCATAGTCCTTGCTGAGGATTTCCAACTCTGATAGAACTTCCTTCTCCGATAAAACGAGACCGTTGTTTTCCAAATCTGCATAACTAATTGGATGAAAATTTCACATACACATTACTGAATAAAAAACCGAAATTGAACAATAAACTTACTCTCTCAACAAACTGTCCGAAATCAAATTGTCCTGACCCACGGATTGACCAAACCAGTCGAAAAACTCCTTAAACGAGACATCATGCAGGAACCACAGGCTTCCCACCTCGACGCCGGTAATTCGCTTTAGGATTTCGAAATTCTGCGTGGTTTTCAACAGAATAAACTTAATAATGCATTTAACAAACGTATGGCAATGCTCACCTTTCCTGAATCATCCATATTTTCCACTATTGGCAATGAAATTCAGTTCTGATTTATACAAAATACACCAACATCGAAGCACGATTTCAGTTGCACAAACGGTCAAAAGGCAATTTTTTGTTTACATCAACACTAGCGCCACTATCGCGAGACGGTCGGTTTCAACGATGAATAAAAGAGCAAGCAGCCTCACCGGCCAAAATCACACTAAAAAATATTACTAAGCAAAGAAAGGTTAAAATTTAATCATGCTGTAAATCAACACGGTAAGAAAAAGTCCCCAAAAGTAATCCTTTTTACTCATCTCGGCACTATACGCCTCGCTATACGCCTTTTTAATAGAAACTAAGCGATCGATTCAACCTCTGGTGGTGAATAAAAGAACGTTAAAAAGAGTGTTGTGAGCAGAAATGTTTACCGTGAGACATAGGAAGCGGAACACTTTTTTTTTCTTTTCCTGTTAAATTGATACATCTGAGGTGCTCCAAAACCAGGAGGAACGAAACTTCAGGATTATCCATGATTCCCAAACCTATCCCAATTCACCCTATCAATTATTTCTATTCCCAACATATCTCTTCTGCGTGCACACAAATTGTCAAGCAAGACCTGCAGTTTATCGAGGTTTTCAGGTCGACCGCTAAGCACTCTGCCATACTCACTGTCAGTTATCAACAATCTCCACAACAAACATCACGTACGTCAGCTGGCCGTGCCGGTTAGAAATCGATGCGAAAACTAAAAAAGACGACGGACCACTCGTCTATAAACGGTCGCGGGAGCAAAAACATCACGCGCATCGCGGAAAAGACGGCAACGCACATCCACTTTCTGGACTCAAACCAATTGAATCCGATGGATAAGAGCCTAGGTGGCGGTGTGTTGTAGCATTGAAGTTGCCGTTCAAACTGCAGATCCTAGCCCCGGGAAAAGCCTCACCGGACAATGAAACGCCCTACGTCAAACAGGTGGAAAAGAATTTAAATATGTATTTATTTTTCCGAAAATGTATGGTCTCTAAATCCGCTAGCATGGAGTCCCCAACATAATCCAGTATATCCAGCAGACTGACTTGGACACCAATTTCGGGATAAGAATCTGCAATCATACAAATCATAACCTTAATAATATCGGTGCATCAAAAAACGCATTTTAATTATTTTTCAATGACATTGCAATGAAAATTAACATAACATTACATTATTCGACAAATTTCCTATATGTATCATCCATAATAATGATCATATCTCACTATTTTGATTTTTTTTTTTTTCAATAATTCAGTGCCAACATTTCAAAGGGGCGTAATTGCTTTTGTAAACAATGGCTTTAGCCGTCAATTTCTCGCAAATTAAAGCCAACCCTTCCAAATTATCACTGCTAGCTGGTACAGGAAACATTTCTCTACCTGCTGGTGTCATTCATTTTTATGAGTGAGCTTTCATTCGCGAGAAATCGACGACTTAAACCATTGTTTGCAAATGCAATTACGCCCCTTTGAAATGTTGGCACTGAATTTATCATTCAAACTCTGGAATTTGAACCGGCTGCCATAAATTTATCACCATCGACTAGTACTGTTTCCCGCCTCTAGTGGCGCATAAATTTCACTTGGATTCTACATGGAAATGAAAAACTACCCAAAATTAAGTATTTTTTTCTCAATTGTGGGTTTCAGTGCAATAACCCAAATTTGAGTAAATCGTATTATTGTAGTTTCCATTTAACACCAGCAAAAAAAAACCTACTCTTAAAGGAATAGAGCTAATATACTATAGAGGAAGAATAGCGCTGGTGTTCCCTTTGTTCCGATGTTGAATAATACCAACAATCAATACGAAACTAACGATTTTAAATTGGCTCACCACTTTAGTAGCCTATTGGTCCCAAGCAAACGATTAACGTACCCTATTCTAGTTGAAATTCTATTACTACACTATGTTTGTTTTGATTCGCTATGAAAGTTTGACAGATAACATCAGGGGTGTGTGGATTCATGCAGAACATGCAGGGGTGAGTGAAATAGCTTGGGACTGCTTGGGACCGTTGTTTTTTATCATTCAAACTCTGGAATTTGAACCGGCTGCCATAAATTTATCACCATCGACTAGTACTGTTTCCCGCCTCTAGTGGCGCATAAATTTCACTTGGATTCTACATGGAAATGAAAAACTACCCAAAATTAAGTATTTTTTTCTCAATTGTGGGTTTCAGTGCAATAACCCAAATTTGAGTAAATCGTATTATTGTAGTTTCCATTTAACACCAGCAAAAAAAAACCTACTCTTAAAGGAATAGAGCTAATATACTATAGAGGAAGAATAGCGCTGGTGTTCCCTTTGTTCCGATGTTGAATAATACCAACAATCAATACGAAACTAACGATTTTAAATTGGCTCACCACTTTAGTAGCCTATTGGTCCCAAGCAAACGATTAACGTACCCTATTCTAGTTGAAATTCTATTACTACACTATGTTTGTTTTGATTCGCTATGAAAGTTTGACAGATAACATCAGGGGTGTGTGGATTCATGCAGAACATGCAGGGGTGAGTGAAATAGCTTGGGACTGCTTGGGACCGTTGTTCTGGTACTGAGTGAGCCAAAAATAATAATGATTTTCTTCGGGACCCAGTGGTCTTAGAGTTACCTCTATGATAATACCGGGTACAGAACTGTCAAACTGCATAGTTTTTTCTCGCTTTGACAGTTGTGTCCCTAATTAGATGTGAGGAAAAGATGTTTCGACAGCGACGGCAGCGCTATTCTTCCCTAGATTCTTCCTCTATATTTTATTAGCTCTATTCTTAAAGGCCATCCACATTAGATCCGTTTGCGTTGCATTGACGTAAATTTGACAGTTAGACAATAGATTTAGCTGTCACTTTGCTGCAACGCAGATCTAATGTGCGTGGGCCTTTAAGTATATTGTACCCAAAATTAAGTTTAATTCACGTAAATTTGAGAATATGCAATTTACTCAAAAGCAATGGGTGAGACAGATTTACTCTGAGTTGCATTTTTGCAGTGAGTAACTCGCGAGTAACTCAATTTACCTCAATATTTAAACGACGTTCATCGATTTTTTTTTTCTCTGCTTACTCCGTTTACTCTCTTTAAGAATATGCTTCTCATATTAAACTTTAGTTTTGTTTGTAAACAAAATAAGCCCAAGTTTATCCTGAGGTATTAAAATAGCTTGAATATTATGGAAGAACCTGTGCCGGTGCCTGCTTACTACCAGCACGAGCTTACAGTTCCAGCCAGCTTTCAGCAGTTGTTCTTCTTCCTCAGCAGCCAGTCCCAGTTGTCCCATCATCGCAGATCAAACAAGCTCTCCAAACTGCTATTCTTCTACACATCTGGAATTTCACCTATAATGAACGATCCCATCAGCATTGATTGATCCAGTAGTAGTAACAGCAGTCCCATTGAAAGTGGTAATAACTAACCCGGATACCCTTCTCGTTAGCACCATGCAAGTTAGCTTTAGCGTGAAGATTCCATCACAGCACATCAAACATACCGTGGTGAGCAATATTCCAACCGTGGTCCCTCCAATAAAATCCGTCGCTACAGTTTCCGATTTAGAAAATATCTCCCCGGCGGGGCAACAACCGATTAACATCCAATTCCAGCTCCGACGGCAACGCTACAAACCATTAGCCCCGCGGAATGTTCAGTCAGAGACTGCCGTCGACGGTCGCAGCAAAATCACGGTGGTGTATCGCAGAAACGGGATCGTATCAACAATCAATTCGAAACCAACGATTTTAAATTGGCTCACTACTTTACTAGCCTATTGGTCCCAAGCAAACGATTAACGTACCCCATTCTAGTCGAAATTCTACTACTGCACAATGTTTGTTTTGATTTGCTATGAATGTTTGACAGATAAAATGACGGGTTAGTGGATTTTCCTATGTTTCGAGGGGTGAATCGATTAGCTTGGGACCGAAGATAGTACCAGAGCTGAGCCAAAAAGTTGAGCTCGTTTCTTCGGGACCTTCTAGTCTTAAGGTATCAGTACACGAAACAAATATTTGTCTTAATTTGACAGATACATTAAATGTATCTGTCAAATTAAGACAAATATTTGTCTCGTGTACTAATACCTTTAGAGTTACCTCTATGATCGTATCACGATCATCCCGAAGGCACAGCAGAAGCACCAAAAGAGGAAGGATGGATGTCCACCGTCAGTAGAACCAACAATCAATACGAAACTAACGATTTTAAATTGGCTCACCACTTTAGTAGCCTATTGGTCCCAAGCAAACGATTAACGTACCCTATTCTAGTTGAAATTCTATTACTACACTATGTTTGTTTTGATTCGCTATGAAAGTTTGACAGATAACATCAGGGGTGTGTGGATTCATGCAGAACATGCAGGGGTGAGTGAAATATCTTGGGACTGCTTGGGACCGTTGTTCTGGTACTGAGTGAGCCAAAAATAATAATGATTTTCTTCGGGACCCAGTGGTCTTAGAGTTACCTCTATGGTAGAACTGCACAGTGGTAATTAAGAGCTCGGTTTGCAGTTTCATCCAGCGGCAGTTTGCCAAGCCATGGGAACGGGATTGCTTCGACGAGTATTGTAGCGAGGGGGACGACACATCTAAATCTCAATTCTACGTGTTCAACCAATCTCACACTAGCTAATCAATCTTCGAAAAATCTTCTTTAATTTCTCGCATCTACTTGCATCGTGCATCATTTTTTTTGCAAGAAATCTTCAGAATCGTCATAAATCTTCTAATCAGCGTGCGCGCAGCTAACCACAGCAAAAAACAATTTTTCCTTCATCGTAGATATTAGAGTCGCCCCCCTCGTATTGTAGTACGTACGGAGTACGTAATTTGGTGGATTTTGAGTATTTGTTCAGACAGATCGAGTATTTCCATTGCTAGGCAGCAATAGGTTCCGTTCACGTCCACAGTTGGTAAGGGTTGAACGAAGATTATTAATTAGAGATAATGCAGGATAATCAATTAAATCAATTTAAGCGTCTCCGAGTTTCGCTGAGTTATTGAGTTCTGTAAATATGCTTTTTTATTGTTGATTTGATTGACAGCAGCTTTTCGGCTTCGCATGAAGATGCACCTTCATATGTTGCTGTGATGCAAAAAGAGGGAAAGCAAATGACAGTGATCTTTCTCACTGAGCTATGTGAGTTACTCGAGGTGCATCAACATCAAAAGCAACTCTGAAATTACTCATGATTGCTCTTTAGCTCTTTACTCCTATGGTAAAATCCATAAGCAAACGCCAGACTGGGCGTGAAACATGACGGACTTCGTACACCGAGGTGAATTTCCATATACCTTTTATGTGTGAAACCACATAGTTTTTTGCAATTAGACTTCACAAATAAAAAATATATTTGAAGAACATAAAAATTATTTGGTTTCCCACCAATAAATTCGATGACATATAAGAAATGAATTTCATTTGCTTTGGTAAATAGAATTTATGTGTGAGGTTTATAACATTTATTTCTCGGTAGAACATAAAGATTATGTGTCTAATTCAAATGAAAGTCATGGTACATACAATAACGTTTACGCATCAAATTCATATATGTTATTGCTAAAAATATAAATAAAATAATAAAAATACAGGCTCTGGTAAATTATTTATTTTCCTGAAGAATTTACACCGTCACTGACGTCAGTGGATTGTATATTCCCGCGTGAAGGCGATTTGGTTTGAGTCCTCCGATGTATGTCGAAGGCGAGGTCGAAGGTGCCTCGGAGGGCTCATCGGAGGGTCTAGCGTATACATCGCCGCCTTTAGTCTCGACGTCCTCTTCCTGCGCGTCCTCCTCCTGCACGTCCTCCTCCTGCACTTCCTCCTCCTGCACGTCATCCTCCTGCACGTCATCCTCCTGCAAGTCTTCCTCCTACACGTCCAGCAGGAAGAATCCCAGTGTAGAATTCACAAAAAAAAGTTATTTCAAACATATAATTTATATTACACTAACTCACGTTTGCCTTGCGCCATTTAGTTATCCGACGGAAGATTTCGGTTTCCTCTGATTTTAAAGCTTCTCCGAGCTCATCACGGGACCTTTTGGCTAATGTTTCTGTGATTTTTTTTTTCACTGAAAACAATCGAAAATAATAGTTTTATAGTAAATACCCGAAAAAAAAATTACAGTGAAATTTTCAGTGGAAACAATGCTCTAACATTAATATTTATTGTCGACAATAAAAATGATTGTTATAATGTTGTACCCTTCCGAAAACGGCAAAACTGTTACCTAGCTGTACAATGAATGTACATAATAAAATGTTGTTACAATGATTTTTATTGTATTTTTCATTTATTTTATTGTTAACATGATTCGATCACGAACAATAATGAACAATTCTATTACAATAAAAAATGTTGTTACATTAAATATTCGTGTGTTTTCATTGTGGGTTACTTCACGAACAATAAAAATAAATCTGATTGAAGCATGCAGACTATGAGAGGGTCAGCAACACTGCCAATGTAATCAAGATAGGTGCTGCTCGTATGGCTCTTGCTTTGACAGTTCGTTTGGCTCTATTCGTTGCCAAGTCAATTGAACGCCTACGACCAGATCGGTTTGAGTTGAACTCAACTCTCCTGCCTCATCTAAATCCCGCTTAATGCAGACCTTTTCCGTGCAGTCACTAATCATACAATAATAATAAAAAAATCCACCACTTGAAGATGTCAGGAAATCACTCTTAGGTGGAAGCATATTTTCATGGGCGATTCTCTCCAGTTGAATGCATTAACTTATCAACGACGTTCAACCACCAAGGAGACGTGACCTAGAGAGATCGAGTGCAGGGGAGTTGGCTTCCATTTCTCACAAGTTCCGGATCGAATCTCAATCCATAACCAGTAAAAAAAGGACTCACCCGTAACAGACATTACCACCCCCTTCCCTCCCCGGGGCGATGTTTTATTTTTTCGATTTATTTTTAAAGTCGATAAAGTAGATCTGTCAAGCCAACACATACACTCTAAAGTACACTGTTATTTTTTTAATCAATAAATTCGCCAACCAACAGTAAAATAACAATAATATATAATGTTATTGAAAAAAAATTATATGGGGAAATCACGAAAATTTCATTGTTAAGATACTTAACAACCCCCCTTTTTTATTGTAAATTTTCCATTTACCATGAAATTTACTGTTTTGTACAACATAAATCAAGGTAAATTTATTGTAGACGTAACAATATAAATCATTGTTAAGACAATAATTTTCGTCTTATTGTTACATTGTTTTTTATTGTATTTTTGTTGTTATTTTTTTTCGGGTAGTTAAAGATAAATGAGATAAATAATTATTTACCTTTGAGAATGCTCAAGTTTTGTTGATAGATGGAGACGATTTAGCACAATTTGTGCAAACTTATTGTTTGACGCCATATTAATAGTGTGCACTGAATTGAATCACTTAACCATTATGTGTGAAAACACATAAGTTTCATCTATAAGATTCGAACCATAATTTTTATGGCAGCACACATATAAATAAAATTTGTCACGCATATACGTGTTATAGGTTATCTTATAGTAGGTAAGGGGTTTGTTATGAAAATTATGTTTACACATATAAACATAATGTTTTGAATATCTTTTAAAAATTATGTGTACAGACAAAATAAACATTAAGTTTAGAATTTTATTAGTGTACTATCCTTTCACTCCATCGAAAAATCCCATAAGAAACTGTCAATCTTTTCTAGAAGAGACGATTTTCCGACGGTGCCGTCAACGCCAATATCGTTGGGTCAAATCTGTCGTTCCTTTTTGGACAACAATAAGGAATGCAAGTGAGAGGCTGAAGTCAATATTAAGTAAAAAGAACGCAAATTGTTGGGTTGTATTTTTTCTCCGTGTCATATACATTTTTTTGCTTTGTATCTCTTGCCCGATTTTGGCCAATGAGGATTATATTTTTGACATTTTTTTTTTCTTTTGTTCGTTTGCGTCTCTCTTTTCTCCGATATCCGTTGTCAAAGCAGAAAACTCCAAAACAACTTGCAGACAGTGAAGAAAATCTCGGAAAAATGGCAGAATCATTGAAAGGTAAACATTATTTTTACTAAATTCTCGCTGTAAGATTGCCCAAATTTGGCAAAATGCCTAGTCGAAGGATTTTGTAGATCACTATACTTTATAGTGACTTGAAATTCTTCGGATTGAATATGCATGAAAAGGCAAAAAGCCTTTCAATAATACCCTTGACTAATGCCTTATTTTCTCTTTTTTGTTCATTGTCCTTCGATTTCTACGATGCTCGGGCAACCTAGTGTAAGTATTAAAATTCAGCATTCAATCATGTTGTTAACTTATCGAAATTAATTCTCTTTCAGAATTGTTATGCTGGCCATGCTGGGCTCGATCGGGATGACTATGATCATCCTGGCCTGTGCGCTTCCAACATACAAGTAACTTATCGACTTTCTTTAATTTAATTTAGTGATTCATCCTTCAATGGTGATACGCATTCTTTTTGCAGAGTCTGGTGGCCATTCTTCGTGCTATTATTTTACATCCTATGTCCCATCCCGACGCTGGTCGCCAAAAGAAACCAATCGGACGACGATGAGTCACGGATCACCCATTCCATGTTCGCCACCATTGGAATCGTTATCAGCAGCTTTGCGTTGCCGATCGTCCTCGCTCGGTCGTTGGTGGTATGGTTTAAGACGTGGATTACTGTTCGTGCCGCTTTTCAACGCTTGAATTTCGTTTCAGATTCACTGGGGAGCATGTTATCTCACTTTGGCTGGTAATACGATCGCCTACATCACCATTCTTGGCTACTTCTTCGGGTACGAATCGGGTGATTCCTGGTAGAAGGGCAGTAGCCATGTAATCATAATCCGAATCACTGTGAACAACAGTGTATGAATTCCAAACTTATACAGCATAGAAGAGTCAATCAATTTGGGTTACTGCGCAGTGATGTGTCTATTTAGGGGTTAAAAGTAAGAACTACTTTTCGAGAAAATAATCTGAACAGAGCGTAGTAATTATTTGGTTTAGTTAATCATTTATTAAATTAGAATGCAATTAAGTTTCCGCGATAAATGCTAGGAACAGTTAAATTACATAGTGTACTGAACAAACTATCGAAATAATTCAATAAATGGCGTGATTATTATTTTTTAATTCAAAGAAAACACGTTTTCTCTGTGACGGTGTAATCAAATCAGATATTCTATTCTCTCAAAAGAACCTCAAAAACAATAATCTGGCACCAGCAAACAGGGATATTAGGGAACGATTTCCTGCCAACCTTCAGTAGCGAAAACCTGATAGGCGTGGATTTTTAAGAAACACAATGTGTGCTGCCTAAGTTGAGTGGCAATGTAATGCTGGAATTCTCTATGGCTCTTATTTCATCGAACAACTCCTCACCGGGAAGCGATATGATTAAATTCAATCTTCTGAAAAATCTTCCAGATATCGCTAAAAGACGCTTGATAGACTTATTCAATTCCTTACTAGAAAACAACATTATACCAACAATTATACCGCCTGAACTGAGACAGGTCAAAGTAATAGCCATTCGAAAACCTGGCAAACCAGCGTCTGACCATAACTCATACCGTCCGATTGCGATGCTTTCGTGCATTAGGAAATTGTTGCAGAAAATGATCCTTCGGAGACTCGATCACTGGGTCGAATCAAATAACTTGCTATCAAATACACAGTTTGGGTTCCGCAAGAGCAAAGGAACAAACGATTGTCTAGCGCTACTTTCCACAGATATTCAACTGGCCTTTGCGCACAAGGCGCAATTGGCTTCAGTATTCTTGGACATTAAGGGGGCTTTTGATTCAGTTTCCATTGAAATTCTGTCAGACAATCTGCACAGATGTGGACTTTCTGGAATTTTAAATAATTTCTTGTCAGAAAAGCAAATGAACTTTTCCCTTGGACAACTGACAACTTCCAGAATTAGCTACATGGGCCTGCCCCAAGGCTGATGTCTCAGCCCGCTTCTTTATAACTTTTATGTCAGATATCGACAACTGTTTGGCAGAACAATGCACGCTAAGACAACTTGCAGATGACGGTGTGGTTTCCGTAAGAGGTCCACATGCCGTGGACTTGCAAGGACCATTGCAAAGTTCCTTAGATACCTTGTCGTCTTGGGCTAGGAATCTAGGGATCGGATTCTCGCCGCAGAAAACTGAACTGGTAGTGTTTATCGAAAGCGGTACCCAGCCCAAATGCAGTTTGATCTTTTGGGCTGAAACATTACTCAATCATTGTCTTTCAAGTACCTTGGGGTCTGGTTTGATTCAAAGTGCACTTGGAATACCCATATTACGTATTTGAAGCAAAAATGGAGGATCAACTTTCTCCGTTCAATTTGCGGCACATGGTGGGGTGCTCATCCGGGAGACCTCATAACGCTTTAAAAAACAACAGTTCTCTCTGTTCTAGAGTAAGGCTCTTTCTGCTTTCTCTCGGTAAGAAAATGTCACCTAATAAAATTGGAACGAATTCAATATCGTTGTCTGCGTATTGCTCTCGGCTGTATGCACTCAACGCATAACATGAGTCTCGAGGTTCTGGCAGGAGTAACACCCCTCCAGAACCGTTTCTGGGAGCTCTCTCTCAGAATACTAATCAAATGCGGAGTGACGAACACACTTATAATTGAAAATTTTGAAGAAATTCTTGGGCTGAACACACAATCTCGATTTATGAGAATCTACCACCACTTCATATCGTCAGATATGTGCCTTCCTTGTTACAATCCAAACCGTGTTCATTTCACCAATCGCAGTTCCTCAATTGAATATGATCTGACCATGAAACAAGCAACTCGTGGGATTCCCGATCAACTTCGACCTATTATTATCCCGCGTATTTTTACCGAAAAAGTACCAACACGTCAATTGCGTTAACAGATATTTTACAGACGGGTCTCGTCTCAGTGGATCCACTGGCTTCGGTGTCTTCAATGAAAACTCTAGCGCCTTCCGCAAAATTCAGGAACCTTGTTCCGTTTATGTTGCTGAGCTGGCAGCAATCAACTTCGCATTGGGGATGATTTCCAACATGCCCGCAGACCATTACTTCATCTTCTCGGATAGTCTCAGTTCGATTGAGGCTATTCGGTCGATGAAACCAAGTAGGCACTCATCTTATTTCCTTTCAAAGGTAAGGAAGCAGATGAGTGTGCTGGTCGAAAGATCATATATCCAGAACAACATGTGGGAAGGGCATACAAGCTTTTTGTAAACAAACCTTTGTAGGCCCTTTTCTCACCAACCGAGGGTTGCCCACGCAAACCAGCAATATCATCGGGAAGGGGAAAGTGTCTCCTACCCGTTGATTTTTTTTTTCCTTTGGTTTGTTTTTTCCGTCGATCTTGTTTTCCGTGCTGAGCACCAATGCTACCGACGTGCCAGGAAGGCAGCTCCCACACCTGGACCCTACCTATCGACCCATCAACTCATGAACCGGGGACCAACGGCTTTACTTCCCATCCGAAGGAAGGCGTGATCAGAGATGTTATGCCTCAGAACATCCCGGCGGCGCCGACTGGGATTGAACCCAGGCCTGCTGGGGTGAGAGGTAATCACGCTTACCACTACACCACCGGCGCCGTTTCCTACCCGGTGATGTTAAAGGTTTGCGTTGGTGTCATATGGGTGGCGAGAAAAGGGCATAAGAAGGTTTGTTTACAAAAAGCTTGATGCGCTTTTTCACATGTTGTTCTGGATATGATTACCTTTGTATGGGTCCCCTCACATTGCTCAATCCCAGGCAATGAGAAGGCGGACTCTCTCGCAAAGGTGGGCGCGCAGGAAGGCGAATTTTATGATAGGCAAATTTCACACGATGAATTTTACCACTAAGGCTCTGAACCATTTGGTGGATTATTTTAACTTTTGGTTAAAATTTGACAGATGAAAAGTTATCGATTAACCCTGCTATCCGAGCATGGTTATTTCTGACAGACAAGAAGTTAAATTTTGACAACCGTGGCTCGAAAACCGGTCGATCGACAGCACGGGGATTTTCGAACATAGAAAATAACTTTCGAAATGTCACTTTTAACCACGAGTTAAATTTAACTCGGCAAATGGTTCACAGCCTAAGTGCGTCAGAGTACCCTTTCGAGTTAATTAATTAATTTATCTTTATTAGGGAGGCTTTCAGCCTTGGGCTGGTTCGCCTCCAAAAACCCTTTCGAGTTGGCAAACCGATTGGGACAATGGAAATCTTCGACGGTGCTTACATTCAATTATTCCTAATGTTTCTTCGAGAGCGTGGACTTAAGTCGTGACTTCATTCGCGTGATGAGTAGACTTATGTCCAACCAACTCGCTAGATGCTCATCTCAATAGAATAAACCTCGTGGACAGACCTCTGATTTTTGATCAGATTATTCACACTTTCTATCATCTGTCTTTAGAAAATGGCGGTGCCGGTGGTGTAGTGATAAGCGTGACTGCTTTCTCACCCTAATGGAACGTGACGTGAAAAACGTGACCTAAATCTCTGGTCACGTTTTCCTTCGGAAGGGAAGTAAAGCCGTTGGTCCCGGCCCATGTGTGTTGAATGGGGCGATCTGGTGCGATATCCTACGCAGGTATGGAAGCTGCCTTCCTGCACATTTGATTTCCGTCAATGTATGGCAATCGATGTCCGTCGGTGATTGGCACTAGATTGCTGAACAGAGACCGACGTTAAATAAAGGAAAGAAGAAGAAGAATAAGTCTTTAGAACATAGCCTTGAATACTAAGGTTTTGAAGCTCTGCCATAGATTACATTGAGGTATCTCTTAACGGATTGATTTAACATCAACTCGTCATCGATGTCTCCTTCTTTCCTTTATTTAACGTCGGTCTCTGTTCCGCAATGTAGTGCCAATCACCGACAGACATCGATTGCCATCCATTGACGATAATCGAATGTGCAGGAAGTCAGCTTCCACACCTGCGTAGGATATCGCACCCATTCAAACACACATAGGCCGGGACCAACGGCTTTACTTCCCTTCCGAAGGAAGACGTGACCAGAGATGTCTATGCCTCAGAAAGTCATCGATGTCGATAGTGGAAATATAGATATTGTAGATTCCATCTTAGTAGAATAATAAAATCTATAGTGCAAAGTACAGTCACAATAGACAATAGCTTTCTTTCGGGCTTTGGCAATTGATTAATAGTTTCTACCATCAAACGCGGCCAGTGGTGGATAAACCAATTTAGCCAAGGGATTTTCTTATGTTTCGAGGGGTGCATCGATAAGCTTGGGACCGAAGAGAATACCAGAGCTGAGCCAAAAAGTTGAGCACGTTTCTTCGGGACCTTCTGGTCTTTGAGTTACCTCTATGGTATAACCACGTATACCTTTCACACTCCTTGGCACTGATTTCTTGAGCAATCACTTCTTATTCGTATTGCCTTTTCTTTCTGCAGTGGGTCCGTTTTTCAGCCGCCCTTGTTACGTTATTTCTTTATGTTCAATCGGATACAGAGCAAAAACTACACTAAAAAAATATTGAAATCTAAATAGTATAAAAGGCTAAATAGCAACTCTCCGTACCGACGCAAAGGTCGGTATAAAGGGAGAGAATGCAAACTTAGTATCAAAATGGTTTATGCGTGCCATATACTATAGTATAAAATCGAAATATACTCACAATGCATAGATACGGTTTATTCAAGAGAATGTATTTTTCGCTTCTTTATTTCATTTATGGTAAATATTATTGTTTTCAAATGAAAATAAAAATTGTCTCAGGAAGCTTTTCTCATAAGTTTATTTTTTATTAATAATATTTAAAAAAATTCTTACAATTTCGATGCTGCCCAGCAGATTACAGGCGCAGTAGAAATCCGCTGGGACAAAGCCCTTCACCAGCACGAAGCTCCGAAGGGAATCCAGATGTTCTTATTCCTGTCATTTTAGTAAACACTGATCGAATTCCACTCCGTTATTCGGACTTAGTATAATTTTGACGAAAATTTTAATCGAACCAATGTGTAAATTTTGTAAAACCATAAAATGCATAAAATTTAATCTATATTCGTTTTGTAATATTTTTGAGTGTAGGGCAAAACTTGACATACAATATTTACTGCTGTTTTGAGTGATATTAGACATGGAGGCAATGTAAATAGTACTCAT